CAAACTATCATTTATGAGTGGCTCTGACTTCACACAGACCAGACTCTGAATCCTGAGTGGTTTGTGGCTCGCCCCAAATGCCTCCTTTCTTTTACTGACCTTTATCCAACGTTACATAAAAATCTATTCGTCCTGCGGATTTTTGCAGCTAAAAGGAGAAATGGTCGGAGTAGAGAGAGAGGCCAGAGAGAGAGACCAGGGGGGGAGAGAGACCAGGGAGAGAGAGACCAGAGAGAGAGGGCAGAGAGGGCAGAGAGAGAGAGAGAGGCCAGAGAGAGAGAGAGAGAGGCCAGAGAGAGAGAGAGAGGCCAGAGAGAGAGAGAGAGGCCAGAGAGAGAGAGAGAGAGAGGCCAGAGAGAGAGAGAGAGAGGCCAGAGAGAGAGAGAGAGAGGCCAGAGAGAGAGAGAGAGAGGCCAGAGAGAGAGAGAGAGAGGCCAGGGAGAGCGAGAGAGAGGCCAGGGAGAGCGAGAGAGTGGCCAGGGAGAGCGAGAGAGAGACCAGGGGGAGAGAGAGGGTCCAGAGAGAGAGAGAGAGGGTCCAGAGAGAGAGAGAGGGTCCAGAGAGAGAGAGGGTCCAGAGAGAGCGAGAGAGAGACCCAGGGGGAGAGAGAGGGTCCAGAGAGAGAGAGGGTCCAGAGAGAGAGAGAGGGTCCAGAGAGAGAGGGCAGAGAGAGAGAGAGAGGCCAGAGAGAGAGAGAGAGAGGCCAGAGAGAGAGAGAGAGGCCAGAGAGAGAGAGAGAGGCCAGAGAGAGAGAGAGAGAGAGAGGCCAGAGAGAGAGAGAGAGAGAGGCCAGAGAGAGAGAGAGAGAGGCCAGGGAGAGCGAGAGAGTGGCCAGGGAGAGCGAGAGAGAGAGAGACCAGGGGGAGAGAGAGGGTCCAGAGAGAGAGAGGGTCCAGAGAGAGAGAGAGGGTCCAGAGAGAGAGAGAGGGTCCAGAGAGAGAGAGGGTCCAGAGAGACCAGTGAGGGTGTAAGGGAGAGACAGGGAGGCAGACTTTGGACGCTGCTTTAGAAAAAAGTTCCATATTTTACCTTTGACACAAATGGAACTGGACTCTCTTTAATACTTTCTCACAGAATAAAACCAACTTGGATTGCATATTTCTCACTTGACAACACGTCTAAAAATAGAACGGCCCTCAAGCTGTGTTGACGTTTAAGTTTTATAATCCAATTACTCTAAAACCTCACCACAGCTGGAGGAAGAGTGTTGTGGGCCTTTGTCTTTTTCATTGTTTATTCTATTCTAATGTTAAGAGCAAGAAGGGAACATGACAAATGCATTTTATAGATTATCTCTTTGGTGAAAGTCGGGGAGAGGAGAGAGGCCGTAGAGAGGGAAAGAAGCCAGAGAGAGGGAGAGAGAGGCCGTAGAGAGGGAGAGAGAGGCCGTAGAGAGGGAGAGAGAGAGGCCGGAGGGAGAGAGAGAGGCCGGAGGGAGAGAGAGAGAGGCCGGAGGGAGAGAGAGAGAGGCCGGAGGGAGAGAGAGAGAGGCCGGAGGGAGAGAGAGAGAGGCCGGAGGGAGAGAGAGAAGCCAGAGAGAGGGAGAGAGGCCAGAGAGAGGCCAGAGAGAGGCCAGAGAGAGGCCAGAGAGAGGCCAGAGAGAGGCCAGAGAGAGGGAGAGAGGCCAGAGAGAGGCCGGAGGGAGGGAGGGAGAGAGAGAGGCCGGAGAGGGGGAGAGAGAGAGGCCGGAGAGAGGGAGAGGGAGAGAGGCCGGAGAGAGAGGCCAGAGGGAGAGAGAGGGAGGCCAGAGGGAGAGGGAGAGAGGCCAGAGAGAGACCAGAGGCAGAGAGAGAGAGAGAGGGGCAGGGGGACGGGGACCAGTTTGTTCTTTTGATTCTTTACTGTATTCTAATGCAGAGCAAGTTTAGAGAAAGTACGAACCAGAGAGAGACCAGAGAGAGAGAGACCGACCAGAGAGAGAGAGAGATAGAGAGAGAGAGACTAGAGAGAGAGAGAGAGAGAGAGAGACACCTCATTGGGGCGGCTGTAATGTGCTAAACTGTGGTTGTGCCCTTTGGCAAGACACTTCCCCCACATAGAGTCTGGTGTGTGTGTGAATGGTTGGTGGTGGTGGGAGGGGCTGATGGCACAGACTGGTTGCCTCGCTTCTGTCAGTGTGCCCCAGGGCAGCTGTGGCTGCATTAGTAATTTATCACCACCGTGTTTGGAGTGACAGAATAATGATGTGAGGAGATATTAGTGAAATCATTCCCAGAGAACTTCCCAGAATCAATACAAAATGCCAGAGAGTCTTAGAGTGTGTGTCACTTGCGGCCGTAAACAAAGACACAGACTTTCTTCTTCTCTCCTCATTAATGTGTAAAACAGCCACAACATGAATGTCTGTGTGAACTACTGCACGGACACACAACACTATCTTTCATCTCGCCGTGAGCTTCTGTGACATTTTCTGTTGTTATATATTTCATGCCATGTTGTGGAAGATCACAGCCACGGGAACAACAAACAGGACCGAGGCTTTTAATGCAAATAGATTTACTTTGGTAATAACAAATGTTCTAACCACTGGATACAACTGGTTTGTCATCGATCAGTCTAGCTTCCTCAGATCCAGGACTGAGGCTGTAGACCCAGGGACTGAGGCTGTAGACCCAGGGACTGAGGCTGTAGACCCAGGGACTGAGGCTGTAGACCCAGGGACTGAGGCTGTAGAGCCAGGGACTGAGGCTGTAGACCCAGGGACTGAGGCTGTAGACCCAGGGACTGAGGCTGTAGACCCAGGACTGAGGCTGTAGACCCAGGGACTGAGGCTGTAGACCCAGGGACTGAGGCTGTAGAGCCAGGGACTGAGGCTGTAGACCCAGGGACTGAGGCTGTAGACGTGCTCGTGCTTCTTGCCTGATGCCTGGACCCGCAGTATTGTTCGGGGCCCGAGAGTCTGTGGATCTGTGATGTATAATCTCGACACAAAAGTGACTTGCGACTTGTGGGAGCAGTTCCCGCTGCCGCAGTCTCAGACATGAAGCGCGACAATAACATACAAATTGAATTCTTCCTCCTGACTTAGCGTTGAGATAAATCACAGCAGCAGAGACGATGAGGTCGTGCGGCGTCGAAGCAACAGATAATGCTTTTTATGATTTGAAATGTATGATTTTCCCGTTTTTGGTCAGATAAATATCTTAGTAGGATTTATATAGCGCTTTTGTATACACCCAAAGACTCAACACATGTCGTCATTCAGTCACTTCACACACTGGTGGTGATAAACTACTACTGTAGCCACACCTGCCCTGGGACACGCCACCATTCATTCACACACACACAAAACTCATTCTAGTCAATGTGGGAGAAGTGTCTTGCCTAAGGACACAACAGTTTGGTACTTTACAGCCACAGCCGCCCCACTGTGACACCGAGTGTTTCCAGTGGTCTCCCATCACAGTACTGACCAGGCCCTTCCCTGCTTAGCTTCAAATGTCTGTCAGAATCTGGCTTTCACCTACTGTCACGTGTAGTCTTTTTAAGCCACGCCCCCAAAAACACACCGGATCTTGAGCTCCGTTGGACCATCTGCAGAAACGTGTAGCTGCCAGAGACCACCAGAGGGGGCGCCGATCTCCCAGTCTGCAGTGGGAGCTAGACGGCAGGCGGTTAAAAAAAATCTATATTGCATTGATTATGGGTAAATCCCGGCGATGACACATTCCTGAACATAAATCTGAACTGTAAACGTATTGAATTGTAATCAGATTCATCATTGTGAGATTTCATGCCATGTACCTGCAGATTAGGATTAAGCCTTGGGTGAATATTCAATTCAATTCAATGTCTTCTGGTAAAGGCCTAAATCACAACAGTAGTTATCTCTGAGGACTTAACGAAACCAGAAACATAAAAGATGACCCAAATATCCTTCGTAAACATTGGATCAGGGCCTGGGTTTGGTTTGTAGTGATAATTATTCATTCTATAATAAGAATGTATTGCCCTAAATCACAACAGCAGTCTATTTTACAAAGTTGTTGTATCACAAACAGATCAGGGAATCAAACGGTTAAAACACAGGCGGCACGGTGGCTGAGTGGATAGCACTCTCGCCTCTCAGCAAGAAGGTCCTGGGTTCGAATCCCGGTCGGACCAGGGCCTTTCTGAGTGGAGTTTGCATGTTCTCCCCGTGTCTGCGTAGGTTTCCTCCGGGTACTCCGGTTTCCCCTACCACTAAAAATATGTCCAATAGTTCTGGCATGCGCCTCCTGTACTGGCGACCCCGCTCCCATCTCTGTGTGGAGTGAGACAAGTGCCCAAAAATTAACAATTGTAAACCGCTTTGAGACTCAGATCTGCAGTGAAAAGGCGGTATATAAATAAAAACTTACTAACTTACTAACTTACTAAATGTGCGATTATAACTAACACATAACGAGCCTTTGGCCTAAGGGAGCGGGAGGAAAACTGTCCAGCAATGTGACAAATGTCCCGGATGTGACTGCCCTTAGACCCTCCTGCATCGTTATGGAAGCTCTATGAAACGCTCTAGATCCAGGACTGAGGCTGTAGACCCAGGACTGAGGCTGTAGACCCAGGACTGAGGCTGTAGACCCAGGACTGAGGCTGTAGACCCATGACTGAGGCTGTAGACCCATGACTGAGGCTGTAGACCCATGACTGTGGCTGTAGACCCATGACTGAGGCTGTAGACCCATGACTGTGGCTGTAGACCCATGACTGAGGCTGTAGACCCATGACTGAGGCTGTAGACCCAGGACTGAGGCTGTAGACCCATGACTGAGGCTGTAGACCCATGACTGAGGCTGTAGACCCAGGACTGAGGCTGTAGACCCAGGTTCTGAAGCTGCATATAAAATGAAAAGTTGACAATGAATCCAATCATCTCCAAATTGAAACGGTCCATTATTGTTCCACTTTGGGAAACTCAGGAAAACTGAAACAGCCTCATGTGGATCTGCACCGACACACGCTGCTGCTGCATAATTAGATTGTTGTGGATGTTGAAGCTTTTGTTTTTGCTCTTGCAGAGACTTCCAGTTCGGCCACATGGATGGGAACGATTACATCAACAGCCTCATCATGGGGTAAGTCTCTGCCCCCTCACTGGTCCTTCTGTCGGGCTCTCGTCCCACTGTTCCCCCAGCCCCCGCCGTCCCCAGCCCAGCCCTCTGCGGCGAAGTCAATTACACCAAACTGTCACTTTTATTTTTAGTGCTCCCGTCATATTAGCCCCCTGCAAGCTCCGATAAAAGACAAACTCCATTAAATCTGAGACGACAGTGATTCTGCGACACGTGTTCGCAGGGATCGGATCTATAACCTCGGCAGTGTCGTAATGGCTTGTCAGAAAGCGGATTTAATGATGACGCGCAGTGTAGAGCCGCGTTAGCTTAGCGGCGGGGCTAAGGCCGCTCCGCTGACATGTCTTTCTTCTAATTAGACGCAGAGTCGAGAGTGAGATCGAGCCAATCGGCAAAACTGACGCCGTCCACAAGTCTCATTTACTGCTCTTGATAATGTGGGTTTGGTTTAAAGTCACAAGAATAAGACTGAGGGAAGAGAGGGAGTAGAGAGGGAGACAGAGAGGGAGACAGAGAGGGAGACAGAGAGGGAGACACGGAGGGGGAGACAGACACAGACAGAGAGACACAGACAGAGAGACAGACACAGACAGAGAGACAGACACAGACAGAGAGACAGACACAGACAGAGACACAGAGAGACAGACACAGACAGAGAGACAGACACAGACAGAGAGAGACAGACACAGACACAGAGAGACAGACACACACACAGAGAGACAGACACACACACAGAGAGACAGACACAGACAGAGAGACAGACACACACACACTAAGAGAGACAGACACAGACAGACACACACAGACAGAGACACACAGAGAGACACACACACACACAGACAGACAGAGAGACAGACACAGACAGACAGAGAGACAGACACAGACAGACAGAGAGACACAGACAGAGAGACAGACACAGACAGAGACACAGACAGAGAGACAGACACAGACAGAGACACAGACACAGACACAGAGAGACAGACACACACACAGAGAGACAGACACACACACAGAGAGACAGACACACACACAGAGAGACAGACACACACACAGAGAGACAGACACAGACACACACTAAGAGAGACAGACACAGACAGACACACACAGACAGAGACACACAGAGAGACAGACAGAGAGACACACACACACACAGACAGACAGAGAGACAGACACAGACAGACAGAGAGACAGACACAGACAGAGAGACAGACACAGACAGACAGAGAGACAGACACAGACAGAGAGACAGACACAGACAGAGACACAGACAGAGAGACAGACACAGACAGAGAGACACACACAGAGAGACAGACACAGACAGACAGACACAGAGAGACAGACACAGACAGAGACACAGACACACACAGAGAGACAGACACAGACAGAGAGACACAGACAGAGAGACAGACACAGACAGACACACACAGAGAGACAGACAGAGAGACACACACACACAGAGAGACAGACACAGACAGAGACAGACACAGACAGACACAGACAGAGAGACAGTTACAGACAGAGAGACAGACACAGACAGAGAGACAGACAGAGAGACACACACACACACAGACAGACAGAGAGACAGACACAGACAGACAGAGAGACAGACACAGACAGAGAGACACAGACAGACAGAGAGACAGACACAGACAGAGAGACACAGACAGAGAGACAGACACAGACAGAGACACAGACAGAGAGACAGACACAGACAGAGAGACACACACAGAGAGACAGACACAGACAGACAGACACAGAGAGACAGACACAGACAGAGACACAGACACACACAGAGAGACAGACACAGACAGACAGACACAGACAGAGAGACACAGACAGAGAGACAGACACAGACAGACACACACAGAGAGACAGACAGAGAGACACACACACACAGAGAGACAGACACAGACAGAGACAGACACAGACAGAGAGACAGTTACAGACAGAGAGACAGACACAGACAGAGAGACAGACACAGACAGAGAGACAGACACAGACACAGAGAGACAGACACACACACAGAGAGACAGACACACACACAGAGAGACAGACACACACACAGAGAGACAGACACAGACAGACACACACAGACAGAGACAGACACAGAGAGACACAGAGAGACAGACACAGACAGAGAGACAGACACAGACAGACACACACAGAGAGACAGACACAGACAGACACACACAGAGAGACAGACAGAGAGACACACACACACAGACAGAGAGACAGACACAGACAGAGAGACAGACACAGACAGAGAGACACAGAGAGACAGACACAGACAGAGACACAGACAGAGAGACAGACACAGACAGAGACACAGACAGAGAGACACACACACAGAGAGACAGACACAGACAGAGAGACAGACAGAGACACAGACACACGCAGAGAGACAGACACAGACAGACACACACAGAGAGACAGACACAGACAGAGAGACAGTTACAGACAGAGAGACAGACACAGACAGAGAGACAGACACAGACAGAGAGACAGACACACACAGAGAGACAGACACACACAGAGAGACAGACACACACAGAGAGACAGACACACACAGAGAGACAGACACACACAGAGAGACAGACACACACACACAGAGAGACAGACACACACAGAGAGACAGACTGAGAGACACACACAGAGAGACAGATACAGACAGACACACACAGAGAGACAGATACAGACAGACACACACAGACAGACAGACACACACAGAGAGACAGACACACACAGAGAGACAGACACACACAGAGAGACAGACACACACAGACACACACAGAGAGACAGACACAGACACACACACACACACAGAGAGACAGACACACACAGAGAGACAGACACAGAGGGACAGACACACACACAGACAGGCCAAATATATAATTTAATGAAAACATTCCATAGAAAGCAAGTGTGTATTTACACTGAAGAGACGAGTCAAAAGTACATGAGGCATCACTCTTCTGAAACTTAAAGCAGTCAAATCGACTGCTCTGGGAGTCCTAGTGTTGGTAACATCTTAATCCTTAATTGTCTAACGTGTCATTATTTTTACCAAATTGCTCGGTTTCTCCTCTATAATAAACGCTCTATTCTTCCTGGTTCGGTCTTAAACACGTTTGTATTTAGACGCTGTTATCTGTGTGATAGACGTTCTGCAGGACGTGGTTTTTCATTCCGTGGTTATTGTTTACACCGGAGACATTACGGCCGACACGGAGTATTAAAGCCTGTGTAATTAAAACAAGTACAACACTGGGCTTTGTCAGAGCAACACTGGAGAGACACAGATATTCCCAGTTCCAGCTCAACATTCCAGGACTCTACAGTAATGTGTTTCTCAGGATTTGTCCACAATAATTGCCCTCCTCTGAGAGTCCCGGCCTGTCAGCGTCCGCTAATCCACTCCCTCCAGACGATATCAATCTGATGGCTTTTTATCCCACGTTAGTCTCTGGATTCACATGAATACACATGTACACACACACACACATAGAGAGCGAGAGGCCAGAGAGAGAGCGAGAGGCCAGAGAGAGAGCGAGAGGCCAGAGAGAGAGCGAGAGGCCAGAGAGAGAGCGAGAGGCCAGAGAGAGAGCGAGAGGCCAGAGAGAGAGCGAGAGGCCAGAGAGAGAGCGAGAGGCCAGAGAGAGAGCGAGCTGTCAATGTCGACTAATCCACTCTCTCTGGACGCCGTGGACATAAATCTGATGGCTTTTTATCCTGCTTTTCTTCCCTGGATTCCCATGAATACACGCACGCACGCACGCACGCACGCACGCACGCACGCACGCACGACCACCATAGACTGAAAAAGAGAGAGAGGCAGACATGTAGAAGGGGGGGGGGGGGACTGTAACTGGTGTTATGGGTTGTGAGTCTGAGATAGATAAGAGTCCAGTGTCAGCCTTGAGTGGCCGTGTGTGGTGGTGGAATGTGAAGGACAAAGATAGCGCAGGTGCAAACATTGGAGACAAAACAACACATGCCCTTGTGGGAAATTTGTATAAGCACTTTAGCTGATCAATGAAAGGCAGTGTAAACTAAAGCCAATATGTCCAAATTATACTGGAACTGGACCCTCCGTTCACCGTTATCCGGAGTTGACCACGTCAGTACGAGGTTCCACCGTGAGGCCCAAGTCCTTCAATCAATCCTTCCAAGCGTTTAAGTCCATCCAAAGATCTCACTCCCAGGTCATTAAGGAAATGTTCGATCCGACTCACCCCCCGTTGTGTCCCCACTGTGCCCTCGACCACGACTCTGACCAACTCGCGGAAACTCTCCTTGTTTTCCGCGGACAGCCGCTCGTAAATCTTCTGAGTGGACAGCCCTCCAACTTTGCGGTAGATCAAGCCAACTCCAAATCCAATCAGGAGGAACCCTGCTACCATAAATCCAAAAATGTCCTCAATGTCCTCGATGGACAGTCCCGACAGACAGACGGGGTGCCACTTTTGCCAGTTGTCAAAAACGTACCCAGCAGCCGCCGTACCATCCGGGCAAACGGCATCTCCAGAACCGCCTTTACACTTTAGAAGTGTCATATACTTTCTCTAAACCTTGTGGTACTGACTTCTAATCCAGCCACATCACAAGGAAGGTCAGTGCCACACAAGCCGACGGACGGTTAAGTACCTATAAACCAGGGGTGCTCAATACGTCGATCGCGATCTACCAGTCGATCGCAAAGGTAGTATTGGTAGATCGCATTAAATAAATAAAAAATTACACATTCTAAACGAATATCTACAAAAAACTCCGGGCAAAGTGGAGATTTTTGAAAACTCCGTGAATGCATTTGTGTGTAGACAGAGATAACCGGAGTTTTGCGCACCAGTCCCCCCCTAAATTCCTCTGATCACTGAAGCATGGATCATACTACCTTAAAAACTGTTCGCTGTGAGATGCTCCACATCAGCGAGCAGCAAAGTGATCGCGGGGACTCACGCTCGAAAACAACCAAACCAGGACTAAACCAGGACTAAACCAGGACTAAAC